AAAAGGGGATCAGATCTGGTAAGATGGGTGATCTGTCAGGATGGTCTGTCTGTTTCTGGTCTATCTTTAATCAAAAGGGCCTTGATTCATGTTGGTCTTGACAGTGAAATATAGGAAGAAAAACTGTTTTCAAACTTTGGTTACTGGTTAGGCCTCATTATTATTAGTCAAAATCTTACATTTATATATAGTCCGTCATCCTAAAAGATCCCTTTGTAAAGAACTTTAAAAACTATAGCTCAGATCCTGCAAGCTCTTAAAGCACACACGCAGAAAGTTGCTCAAAAGTCTGTGTTTGCAGGAACAGGGTCTGTATATAGAAATTGCTTCAGAGAAGTAGCCACTTCTGGCCTAAAATATGGTAGCTGTTCAACAATGGGCATTAACACTGCATAGCACTTTAGGACAGGAAATGAAGATGATCAGATCCACTTTATTTTTAAAAAAAATGTGAAAGGTAGACAGGTGTTCACTAAATGATTTTGTTAAATACAAGTACTACATTTTAGTCTGTTAAAGCAATTCTTTTTAAATATATGTTGAAAACTGCTGCTTTGCTGTACCCTGCTGAACATCAATATAGTAAACCTAGCCGTTTCTATCTGTCATTACCAAACCTCACAATGATGTTCTGATTAATTATGCGTACTGTGGATCTCCCAGATGCCAGCCAGATGTTCAGAGAAAACTTATGTTACTTGGCTTAAGAAATGAAGTATAAATCATATCCACACTGACACACCTAGTGGAACAAATGGAAGGTATTCCTAAGTGAATGCGCTACTTCAAATTTATTTTTTCCTTGAACTAGCTACGAAACACTCTGCCTCAGACATTGCAGGCTTATAGGTAAAACAGGAGACAAGAAGAACATGCAGATAGTAGATCAGCTATTGCTTCTTTTGTTACCAGGAGGCTGTTGTGCTGCAAGGCACTCTGACTTCCCCACCCTGGCTGCTTCGCAGAGCAGGAGCGTTGCCTCTCGCCCATTAGGAAGGGAGTGTTAAGTGGCTGTGGGAACAGGAAAGGAAGTGCTGCTGACAGCAAAGTTCCCTGCCAGTAGCAGATCAAAGGGCTGCCTGGAAGAGAACAGAGGCAGGTGGCCAGCTCTCAGGCAGGATGTGTGGGTGGGGGGTAAAGGGGAATCAGGAGAACTTTCTCTCCTCAGCCAGCTCTTCTGTGTGGCTTATATTTCTGGGGTCAGAGGAGCATTGTTTCTCTTTAACCCTCAACCAGACTACAAGGTATCTGTGGAAGTAGAATATGTGTGGTGAGTGTTTTTTTTTTTTTTTCTCCTCCTCCCTGAAACCATGTGGTGGTCATCTGTCTCCTAGTTTTGACAGGGAAAGGACTCTTGCCATTTACCCTCACTCGGATCTTTTAGAAAGGGTTCCACCTCATCCCTCCCCCTGTACATCAGACTGCTGCAGCTCTTTTGATGCAGAAATCAGCTTTCTTTCTTTCAAGTAGCCTCTGCCCTCATGCTGACAAACACATCTTTCAAAGCAGGGGCAAGGCTTCCAGGTGGAAAATGCAGCAAGTGACTTGGGGCCCACCCAAAAGACTACTTTTTTTTAACCCACATCAAACCAAATCAGACACTTATTCCTTTTGTCCCTGGGTTTGCTGAAAAGTGAGGGTCTTCAAAGAGAAGAGTCCAACTATGTTTCAAATTGTAAGGCATATATACTCTCCTTCCTCAAGGCCCACTAGTTCTGTGGTGTGTGTGTATAAGAAATTGGCCAACTAATATACACTAGTAAATCTAGAAGTAGAAAGATCAGAGGCAATGCTTCAGTCTGGATGGGCCTGGCAGTATTCAAAAAGCCATGTGATCCTACTGCTCTCCAGTCCTGGCTTCAAAATGTAGTCTGCAGGATGCTGAAGAGTAACAGCAGGGAAAGAGCCCAGCTCTGTGCCCATTTAGGACTATGATGCTTGGAGGGGAGCATTAGGGCCAGGCTGGGAGAGGAACCACACTTATACCCCATAAATTTAGGCATTTGATCTGCATCAATGAGACCATACTGGAGCCCCACAGGCTGCTCTCTGTTTAGAAGGTGGATTTCACACTTCCTCTCCATCTTTGCCAGAACAGGACAGCTGCATAAATCTCAATTACTGCACTCAAGCTTTCTGCAGGATTCAAGAATTTTACTTACAGTGAAAATGGATCAGAGCTGTCCTGTGTACCAGAGAAACATTAATAATTGATTTTCCACCTTGCTGAACAATGCTGCTTTGCTCAATTTACATTCCCTCTTCAGTTCAGTGTTGTTAAGTGATTGGGGTGACTTGTGGAGATGTGACACAACAATAGCAGGGATTTAAAATCCATCACTATTATTGCTGCCAGATCCTGGTCTTTGATTTGGGTGACAACAATTCGTTTGATCCCTAAGTGAGATAGGGAAGGGAGAGGACAAAAATCATTCCTTTCACAGATTATCTCCACCACGCTGTATTGGTACACAGTCAGGAGACACAATCATTGATTCTTTTTGACACGTGCAAAACCCTTAAAACTGATACAGTGCAGTCCTCTAGGGTACATCAGCCCTTAACTTTAATATGTATGACCTTTCCTCTATAAGGCAGTGGTCCTAGATTAAGTCAGTAGATCCAGGTGGCTTTGGGGTGGGAAAAAAGAGAGCCCTTTTTTAATTGGGGCAGGGGGAGGAAAACATGATGGTGGCTCTGGTTGGGTCCAGAGATTGACTAAATAGAATTGCAGAAGCTTTTGGTTTTTCCATCAGTGCTTTGAATCTCAGTCAATTATAATGTCTCCAAATAGCCAATATCTAATGATGGCTGTTTGGTAGTCCACGTGAAAGTATTGGTTGTGCTCAATGTAAGTATCCACATATTGAAAAGAATCCTCAGTATAATTGGGCTAAACTGCCTTTGGGGTTGGGAGCCTTAAGGAGTGAGTTCAAGAAATAGTGGTATGATGACTTAATTGTCTTCATCTCTAGAAACAGTCACCCTAGGTTAGGATTTAAACATCCGTGGTGGTTTATGGGTTCTGAACCTCACACTTGTTACAAATAGCTTTGTCTAATGTTGTCATGTTAAAGTGGAGTTACAGAAGCACAGCCCTATTACTGCTACCTTAGCTGCTGCTGTTCTGAAGTGTCCAGAAAAAAACAATCTTGGTGTTAATGTAAAATGGAAGAGAGAGTTGCTGACCCACAATATTACTGACCAATACATAAGGACCCTTCTAGTTCTCTTGCCCCCACATATTTAGATGTGTAGGGAGTTAAGAGAATTTTTGATCCAGCCTCCATCAATCATAGTCAGATACATAAATACAATGGCTGGAACATGAATAATTTAAGTAACTGTTCAGTTTATTTTGGGAAGGAAAGTGAAGGGCTACTGGGTGAGCAATATCTAAATGCTAGATATTTGGGAGCCAAGACTTTGAAAGGTGTCCTGTAGGGAAGAAGGAGCCTGAGCAGATCTCTGCAGGTGTTTGAGTGCTAACATAAGTGGATTTAAGATTACTGAAGCACAAATGTTGCATGGCACATAGTGATCAATTTCAGTGATACGTTACAGATCTGCAGCCTAATGTTTTGAATCAATTGGCAAACTGCTGAATTGCAATATTGTAAAATCAAAGAGAAACCATGTTGTGCTGTAGCTTTTGTTTCAGTTATCCTAGAAGAAGACCTACACTTTTTTTTTTTATTGTATGGAAAATTGAGCCATAGGCAGAACTGTATTGGTTCCTGTACTGGTTCCTTAAGAAGACTAACATTAATCTCAGGGAGAATGGTATATTGCTTACTATAGGAGCATGTTTGGCCAGAACTATGAAGCTCGTTAGGAATTTAGATGACCCATGTGCAAGGAGTGTGGGCTACACTCACTAATGTATTTCCCACAGTTGGTAGAAAAGCTACATTAAGAAGACAAAGTTGTTTGGCTAAGGGAAAGGTATCAATAAGGAAACTATTAACAATCTCCTGGAGCAAGAATTATGGTGAAGCTGCAGTTGTGGCTGGCCACTGTATAGGTACAGAGGCATAAGAGGGAGATGGTTGCTTTCATGACCACTCTTACATAGCCAGGCATAATCTAAGCCTACAGAAGGAAGAAACACTTATAGACAATTCTCTTACAAATTCTCAGGATAGGTATGTGGTGGTAGTGTTTAATTTTTTTTTTAAACTTGCTATTGCCATTTGAAAGCACTAAAGATCCACAGAGGCAAAGTACACAGTGATCTAGAATACTGTAGATTAATTTTTTCCTCTCAACTATTTATCATTTGACACGAAGATGAGTTTAATAGCTTCTCAAACTTTTCCAAAGTGGAATAGCTTCTTACTTTCAGTAGCACTTAAAATATATTTCCTAACTAAAAGAACATGTTGAGTAACTTTTTAAATTCACTGTTCTAAACTTGGTTTCTTTCCCCCTTCCAAATCCAAACTTTAATGTACTTCCTATATAATCTGCATAACCTATTTTTCATCTTATAGCTACCTCGGCCAACAGATGGTGCTGTGTATAACACTTTTATGATATTGTATAACATTTAAAAAAATATATTGCAGCCAAACTGCACATTTAATTACTCTAGCTTCACATATATTTCCCGACAGAAGTCCCCAGTAATATGTTTATCATAAAAATTTGAACTGAGATGCAAGAAGCAGCTAAGTCACTGATGAATATTTATATCCAGTCAGGGGTGGGGAAACAGTTCAATTGCACATGTAAAATAGTCAGAGGAGCCAATAACAGTCTTATGTGAAACTCCTGCAGGATCAGGTCAACAGTTTGGGTTTTCGGTACTTGGAAATAATAGGGAGACAATGGTACCTAGTGGCTAGAATACTGGAGTAGGACTTAGAGCCAAGAATAGACTCCAGGTCTCCCAACACCAGCTGCCTGGGTGACCTTGGGCATCTCACTTCTCCTCTCTTCCTCTTTCCTCATCTGAAAAAACAGGAATAATACTGATGTCCTTTGAGATCTAGCCCTGGTCTACACTAGGACTTTAGGTCGAATTTAGCAGCGTTAAATCGATGTAAATCTGCACCCGTCCACACAATGAAGCCCTTTATTTCGACTTAAAGGGCTCTTAAAATCGATTTCCTTACTCCACCCCTGACAAGTGGATTAGCGCTTAAATCGACGTTGCCGGCTCGAATTTGGGGTACTGTGGACACAATTCGATGGTATTGGCCTCCGGGAGCTATCCCAGAGTGCTCCATTATGACCGCTCTGGACAGCACTCTCAACTCAGATGCACTGGCCAGGTAGACAGGAAAAGAACCGCGAACTTTTGAATCTCATTTCCTGTTTGGCCAGCGTGGCAAGCTGCAGGTGACCATGATGGAGTCCCAGAATCGCAAAAGAGCTCCAGCATGGACCGAACGGGAGGTACGGGATCTGATCGCTGTTTGGGGAGAGGAATCCGTGCTATCAGAACTCCGTTCCAGTTTTCGAAATGCCAAAACCTTTCTGAAAATCTCCCAGGGCATGAAGGACAGAGGCCATAACAGGGACCCGAAGCAGTGCCGCATGAAACTTAAGGAGCGGAGGCAAGCCTACCAGAAAACCAGAGAGGCGAACAGCCGCTCTGGGTCAGAGCCCCAAACATGCCGCTTCTATGATGAGCTGCATGCCATTTTAGGGGGTTCAGCCACCACTACCCCAGCCGTGTTGTTTGACTCCTTCAATGGAGATGGAGGCAATACGGAAGTAGGTTTTGGGGACGAAGAAGATGATGATGAGGAGGAGGTTGTAGATAGCTCACAGCAAGCAAGCGGAGAAACCGGTTTTCCCGACAGCCAGGAACTGTTTCTCACCCTAGACCTGGAGCCAGTACCCCCCGAACCCACCCAAGGCTGCCTCCTGGACTCAGCAGGCGGAGAAGGGACCTCTGGTGAGTGTACCTTTTAAAATGCTATACATGGTTTAAAAGCAAGCATGTGAAAGGATTACTTTGCCCTGGCATTTGCGGTTCTGCCTTTGCAAAAGGTTTCTGGGGAGGGCAGCCTTATTTCGTCCTTCATGGTAGGACACTTTACCACTCCAGGCCAGCAACACGTACTGGGGAATCACTGTAGAACAAAGCATTGCAGTGTATGTTTGCTGGCATTCAACCAAAATCCGTTCACGCGGTGGGAGGAGGCAAAATGCGACCTTGTAACGAAAGCACATGTGCTATGTATGTAATGTTAACAGCAAGGTTTACCCTGAAAGAGTGTAGCGACTGTTTTATAAAATGTGTCTTTTTAAATACCGCTGTCCCTTTTTTTTTCTCCACCAGCTGCATGCGTTTCAATGATCACAGGATCTTCTCCTTCCCAGAGACTAGTGAAGCTTAGAAAGAAAAAAAAACGCACTCGCGATGAAATGTTCTCCGAGCTCATGCTGTCCTCCCACACTGACAGAGCACAGATGAATGCGTGGAGGCAAATAATGTCAGAGTGCAGGAAAGCACAAAATGACCGGGAGGAGAGGTGGCGGGCTGAAGAGAGTAAGTGGCGGGCTGAAGAGAGTAAGTGGCGGGCTGAAGACAGGGCTGAAGCTCAAAGGTGGCGGCAGCGTGATGAGAGGAGGCAGGATTCAATGCTGAGGCTGCTGCAGGACCAAACCAGTATGCTCCAGTGTATGGTTGAGCTGCAGCAAAGGCAGCTGGAGCACAGACTGCCACTGCAGCCCCTCTGTAACCAACCGCCCTCCTCCCCAAGTTCCATAGCCTCCACACCCAGACGCCCAAGAACGCGGTGGGGGGGCCTCCGGCCAACCAGCCACTCCACCACAGAGGATTGCCCAAAAAAAAGAAGGCTGTCATTTAATAAATTTTAAAGTTGTAAACTTTTAAAGTGCTGTGCTTAAAGTGCTGTGTGGCATTTTCCTTCCCTCCTCCACCACCCCTCCTGGGATACCTTGGTAGTCATCCCCCTATTTGTGTGATGAATGAATAACGAATGCATGAATGTGAAGCAACAATGACTTTATTGGCTCTGCAAGCAATGATTAAAGGGAGGAGGGGAGGGTGGTTAGCTTACAGGGAAGTAGAGTGAACCAAGGGGCGGGGGGGTTAATCAAGGAGAAACAAACAGAACTTTCACACCGTAGCCTGGCCAGTCATGAAACTGGTTTTCAAAGCTTCTCTGATGCGTACCGCGCCCTCCTGTGCTCTTCTAACCGCCCTGGTGTCTGGCTGCGCGTAACCAGCAGCCAGGCGATTTGCCTCAACCTCCCACCCCGCCATAAACGTCTCCCCCTTACTCTCACAGATATTGTGGAGCACACAGCAAGCAGTAATAACAGTGGGAATATTGGTTTCGCTGAGGTCTAAGCGAGTCAGTAAACTGCGCCAGCGTGCCTTTAAACGTCCAAATGCACATTCTACCACCATTCTGCACTTGCTCAGCCTGTAGTTGAACAGCTCCTGACTACTGTCCAGGCTGCCTGTGTACGGCTTCATGAGCCATGGCATTAAGGGGTAGGCTGGGTCCCCAAGGATACATATAGGCATTTCAACATCCCCAACAGTTATTTTCTGGTCTGGGAATAAAGTCCCTTCCTGCAGCTTTTGAAACAGACCAGAGTTCCTGAAGATGCGAGCATCATGCACCTTTCCCGGCCATCCCACGTTGATGTTGGTGAAACGTCCCTTGTGATCCACCAGAGCTTGCAGCACTATCGAAAAGTACCCCTTGCGGTTTATGTACTCGGCGGCTTGGTGCTCCGGTGCCAAGATAGGGATATGGGTTCCGTCTATAGCCCCACCACAGTTAGGGAATCCCATTGCAGCAAAGCCATCCACTATGACCTGCACATTTCCCAGGGTCACTACCCTTGATATCAGCAGATCTTTGATTGCGTGGGCTACTTGCATCACAGCAGCCCCCACAGTAGATTTGCCCACTCCAAATTGATTCCCAACTGACCGGTAGCTGTCTGGCGTTGCAAGCTTCCACAGGGCTATCGCCACTCGCTTCTCACCTGTGAGGGCTGCTCTCATCTTGGTATTCATGCGCCTCAGGGCAGGGGAAAGCAAGTCACAAAGTTCCATGAAAGTGCCCTTATGCATGCGAAAGTTTCGCAGCCACTGGGAATCGTCCCAGACCTGCAACACTATGCGGTCCCACCAGTCTGTGCTTGTTTCCCGAGCCCAGAATCGGCGTTCCACAGCATGAACCTGCCCCATTAGCACCATGATGCATGCATTGGCAGGGCCCATGCTTTCAGAGAAATCTGTGTCCATGTCCTGATCACTCACGTGACCGCGCTGACGTCGCCTCCTCGCCCGGTATCGCTTTGCCAGGTTCTGGTGCTGCATATACTGCTGGATAATGCGTGTGGTGTTTAATGTGCTCCTAATTGCCAAAGTGAGCTGAGCGGCCTCCATGCTTGCCTTGGTATGGCGTCCGCACAGAAAAAAGGCGCGGAACGATTGTCTGCCGTTGCTCTGATGGAGGGAGGGGCGACTGATGACACGGCTTACAGGGTTGGCTTCAGGGAGCTAAAATCAACAAAGGGGGTGTCTGTACATCAAGGAGTATTTCAGGCAGGACTTCACGGAGGGTTCCAATAAGAAATGGTGCACCTAAGTTATCGTTCTTATTGGAACAAGGAGGTTAGCCTGGCCTCTGATTGATACATGGCTAGATTTACCTCGCTGCACCTTCTCTGTGAGTGACTGCAGTGTGATCTAGAGGAATGAGTCCCCTAGACAGGGGAGGAGGCAAATGAGTACAAAACAAAACTGGTCTATTTCTTGTTCTGAGCCACTCCATCTATCTTTTACATCTTTGGCTGGCAGCAGACGGTGCAGAAGGACTGCATGCCACCCACATCTCATGGCTGCTCGGCAGAAGTTGGTACAGTACGACTGCTAGCCATCTTCATCTCTTGCCTGCCTGGCAGAAGATGGTACAGTACGACTGCTAGCAGTCCGTATCGCCTGCCCGCTCACCATAAGACGGTTCAATAGGACTGACTGCAGGACTAAAGAGAATGACCTGGTCAAGTCACTCCAAATTTAGTCCCTGCACCCATGTCTGCCCAGGCGCTCCCAGCCGACGTGGCCAGGAGCACCTCGGACATGACGATGACGGCTACCAGTCGTACTGTACTGTCTGCTGCCACAAGGCAAGGGGTTGCTGCTACTGTGTAGCAATGCCGTACCACGCCTGCCAGCACCCAGGAGACATAGGGTGACGGTTACCTGAGCGGGCTCCATGCTTGCAGTGGTATGGCGTCTGCACAGGTAACTCAGGAAAAAAGGCGCAAAATGATTGTCTGCCCTTGCTTTCACGGAGGGAGGGAGGGAACGGGGGCCTGACGATATGTACCCAGAACCACCCGCGACAATGTTTTAGCCCCATCAGGCATTGGGATCTCAACCCAGAATTCCAATGGGCAGCGGAGACTGCGGGAACTGTGGGATAGCTACCCACAGTGCAACGCTCCGGAAGTCGACTCTAGCCTCGGTACTGTGGAAGCGCTCCGCCGAGTTAATGCACTTAATGCACTTAGAGCATTTTCTGTGGGGACACACACACTCGAATATATAAAACCGATTTCTAAAAAACCGACTTCTATAAATTCGACCTTATTCCGTAGTGTAGACATACCCCTAGTGACGAATAGGACTATATAAGAAATAAGCATGATTGCGATAAACATTTGGCCTGGTTCTTCTATTTAGGACTTAATAAATAGACTGGATCTAAATCGAAACACACAGGTGCAGTATTTTCAACCTTTATTCATGTGACTTACATGGGACTGGTCATGTGAGGGAGTTTACAAGAGCCTTCACTTTTTAAAGGATATGTTTAGGACCCCAATGCTGCGAGCACCTACTCACGTGCTCAAATTTCAGCATGTGAGTAGTCTCATTGACTTCAATGGAACTCTTTTTTGTGCATTAAAAGTTAAGCACATGCAGAAGTTTTGGCAGGACGGAATCAGTCTGTGTTCTCTACAGGCTTGATCTGTCTCTCCCTGAAGTGAAGGGGAGCTTTGTTATGGACTGCAATGAGACCTTAGAGTCTGAGCATGTTGAATCTTCATTGACTATATGGTAAAATATTTTACTATATAATGTGTATTATGTCTTTAATATCTGTACATTATATGTATAGGTGTATATTTCATATATTAACTAAATAGTATTAGATCTGCCACATAACTGGTGGTCACCACCAAAAATTGCTATTTATTATTATTTGACAAATTAAAGTGTGTTAACTGACTGTATATATTCAATATACAATGTAATATGCAAGAAGCCCTAATCTGGGTTTTCTAATACACTAGATATCATGCAATAGACATATCTTTATCATTTTTTGCAACTATAATATTAAACTAGGTGACATTTTGTACCCTTACCATAATTCTACAGTCATTCTTTTTAGTTTTTACTGTCCATATCCTATCTCTTTAGGATATTCAGAAAACAGAACTTTTTAAAAATCGGATAAATTATTAAGGTCTATATGAAAAATTATGGTCCCCGTCCTGCATGAGATCTATTAGCACAGCTTCCTGCATCTATGTGGAATCCCATTATTTTAACTGGGCCCTGCATAGGTGCAGGGGACTATAGTAGGTTCTAAAGCTACATCTATATTTTAGTTAGGAGCTGGGAATCATAGCTCTCATTGATGTATCCATGCCAGCAGTGTAGCTGGAGTAGCACAGGCAGCAGAGTACATACCCCGCCGGATCCCCTGGATGTGTACTTGGGTGTCTAGCCTGAGCCACTGTCATGGTGCTACACTGCTAACTTTAGCATGCTAGCCTGAGCAGAGCTGGGATGGGGTATGTCTGCGTGAGCATACTCACATTTCAAATACAGACATTACCCACAATCCTGCAAACCCTAACACAAATGGGGGGGCTCCAATTCAGAAAAACTTGTGGGGGGGATGTAATCTGACCAGGGAGCTCAGCCTGCGGAAGAGAATGGGAGGTAGAGGCATCCAAGCTACAGCTCCCATGAGGCATTTCCAAAGGATAATTTAGTTTTCAGATGAAATTGTTGGGTTTTTGGATGCAACTTAAATTTTTTTTGAACTTCCACTCAATCACAATTTTCTATGGGGGAAGGGAGGCAACTGTTGACCAGCTCTAACCCCAGTTCAGAGAAGTATTTAAGTACATGACGAACTTTGATGTGGCTGAGTAGTCCCAATGCTTATTCGTGTTCAGTCAAGTACAAGTGTAAGTGTGTTTGCAGGATCAGTCCCTCTTGCTGACCATTGTGGAAGAAGTAGTATTTAGAATAGTTACATACAATATAACTCAAAAATGCTTGCATTCAAAGATCCTTACCTTTGTAAAACAGTAACTGAACTATCTTGTTAGGTTGCCTTACATATTTTATTTTGATGTGATTATCATCAGGGATGCTGAAATATTACAATTTATGATGTATGATTTGGGATTAACAGCCAGATAGTCTACTTGTCTTGACCAGATTAACAAAAACACAAACATGGAGGGAACTACAGTTATTGGGGTTTTTTTTGTTTTGTTCTCCCCCCTTGAGGAGAAAAGCATATAAATTATAATTTAAGAATCCTTTTTTTTTTTTTTCAGTGAAAATACCAGCTCTCTTGCTGTCATAAAAACCTCTTCTTTGGTGAGGTGGAGGACTGCTGTATGAGTGGTGGTTTTTAATTCCATAATGCCAAATGAGTGCTAAGTGCTTTGCATGTGATTATACGTATAATGCGCCTGTCCCGAAATTGTTAATAGGATTCTGCCCTTTGATTGTATTCTCATGCAAGTAGTCCCCATTCCTATGTATGCTGGAGTGATGGACTGCCTCTATTGCAGTGGTACCTTCTGCACTGTTCCAGAAGGCCCATGATAGGATCAGCTGTCTATGGGGAACAAGTGGGGCAGGGTATTGTTAGCTCCAAGCCC